CCTGCTGACCGAGCCGTTGCTCCGGATCACCTCCTGAGGGGACGGCGCTGTGCTGGCCGTCACCACCAGCGTCTTAGGGGGAGCCGGGGATGGGTGGCCACCATTGGCATAGACAGGGCGAGTGCTCGTGCTCCCTGAGCGGGAGAAGGGGGGTTGGTGGGCATCGTTGCTGTTGCTGAAGCGAGTGAAGGAGTCTGTGGCATGGTTTGCTTTGGGGTCGTTCCAGTAGCGGCTGTTGTAGGTGTTGGAGGAGGTGAGGGTGTCGTTCTCCGATGAGGACGCGTCAGCGTGGAATGTCTTTGTAGCGGAGGAGCATTTGGGCGGCAGGTCATCCTCCCTGGGAAGGAGAGGGTGTGAGGGCACATGGAGGATGCTGCCCCACTTGCCCAACACCCACCCCTCGCCACACCCTGCTGGAGTCAACACCATCAATTCAAGGTGAAGGACAGCACCAATGTGAACCAACATTGCTCCTTGGCCCATTTGCTCATCCCTCTTTGCAGGACCCACCTCTGTGCACATTAATTGCTCCATGTGCCTACTGATGAGGCAAACATCCCACACTCATGTGTCTAGGGGGACAAAACCAGTGGTTGTCACAGCCACTGGTACGACGCAGGCAGTCAGTATGACTGTACCTGTACAACTAATAAAGCTGATCCTCAGGGGAGCTGCAGGAAGCTACCAGAGGGAAACACTGTGGCTGTAACATCAGAGAAAATTACAGTTGTATCTCCAGAGCTCTTGAGCTATCACTGTCTGGTGTTGTGGGTCAGGATCCCCATCATGTGCAGAGTCACTCTCTTACAGAGCTAACAATGTCAAACCAAACCTCTCAATAAAGGCCATACTGAAAACAAAAATCTGTCATTACCATTCTTCATTTGCTCCCTCCTTTTTCTGGGCAGATAACGGACATCTTCCCCTGGCCCAGGGGAAGACACTCAGGATTAGCATGAGTGAGATTTCTGATTGCCTTCCTACCAGCTGCTGCTTTTGCTGGGTGATCAGAGGTCCCCTGCCACCAGCTTTCCCTGGCCCTTACCTTATCTCATTGGGAATCTCCTCTTCTTCTTCTTCTTTGTGTTTATTTTTCCAGTAAAACAGTGCCACGGCCACCAACACAATGCAAACAACGAGCACAACAGCACCTGTGGCCACCGCTCCCGCAATCAGGCCAATGCTCCGGGGGTGGGCTGTGGGGATGATTGAACAGAGAATGGAGAAGAAATCAGGGCTGGGCTGTGGCCATCCATGAGCATTTGAAGCTACCGTGGCTTAGGAGGGGGGAAAGGCAACGTCCCCATTCCAGGGCACAATGATCTTCTGATAGAGAGGCACATGGCGGCTCACAGCAAACATGGTTACACGCTTTACTGTCACAAGACAGAAGCAGGTGGCCAAGCCTCCCTTGGCAAAATACTTACGTGCAATGACTTGCAGGTCCAGAAGGCAAGTGCTGGTTCCAATGGCATTTGAAGCCACACATTGGTAAAGACCTGAGGACACAGTGCTGATATTTCGGAGAGTGACAGTGCCCTGGACTTGGTCTAGTCAGAGAGAAAAGAAGGATTTAAATCCCTCCCCCCCTTTAGGAAAACCATGAAAAGGCAAAGCCAGCAAATAGAGAATTTTGCTGTGAGACTCTTAAGAGAGAAATAAATAAGGAAATAACCTTGAGATGGAAGCATTGTGCACACACACACACACACACACAGACACAAGATTAGGTCTTAAGGAGCTTACACTAGATGTTTCTTTTTTGTCTTATAGATTAATTTCTGCAAATGAAAGCTTGGGACTCTCAGCATTGTGTGAGAAAAGGGAGGAAAGAAGAGATGTGCAATTACTTATACCCAGATCTACCTGATAAAGTCAATCCTGCCTTGCAGAACCCCTGCTCTCCCATCCCTGGGCTCCCCACCCCATGCTCTGCCAATTTTCCTCATTTCTGAATTATGTAAAACTTAAATGCTTGCATATTCTTAAAATACAGTAAGATGAAGGGCAAAAGTACAGCTATCACTACTTGGTCAGGACACCTAGGCTAAGAAATCTTACGGATGGGACTTGGGGCTGGGCAATACCCAGTCTGATCAGAGCCTTGCTTTTACACACATCTGAAATGCAATTCTGGCAGTAACTTATTGGAGAACAGCGACCTCAGTGTGAGAAGCTGGCAGTATTTTCCTGGGGTGATTCTGCCTCCATTTTCCCAGTTTCTAGTCAATGAGCCTTTCATTTGATTTAAAATGCAGGTGAGTCAGCAGCTGAAATCTCCAGCCACATGCCAACATGTGGCAACCATGTTCTCTCTCTCCCATTCGACCAGACCCTTGTTCCTCAATGGGGAACATGTTTCTGTACCAAAAAAACATGAAAATTTAAGTGGCCACTGGAGGGTGCATAGTCCACCATGGGCTCTAGGAATCTTCGTTCGATAAAGTGACCGTGCAAGTGACGGCAGACACTCAACAAGCTATGCCACCTCTGGTGGCTCAGACAAAGGAAAGCCCAGGCTGTCACCTGGGAAATAAGAGGATAATTAACAGAACAAGCACCTTGTGTGGCAGTTGGGGGCAACTTGGGAATATTGTCCAGTTTCTCCCAGAGGTATGTTGGCCGGGGGATGCCTTCTTCCGAGCTGCAGGTCAGTGTGATATCGCTGCCCACGTCCAGGGATCCCTGGATTCTGCAAAGCGGGGCAGAAGGAGGAACTGCGAGAGAAGAGGGGAAAGTGACAGCAGATCAGGAAATATGACCACACAGTGGAGTGCAGGCTCCTTCTGGACACACGCTGCTGGGGAAAGCAAGGACACTGGCATGCGCTGACAAAGGGACAAGAGGGAGGCAGCAGACAAAAACCCATTAAGGTTTGGGGAGTGACAATTCACAAAGATTCCTGACCCACCAGCCCATCAAGGTTACAGACTACTGCTGACTTTTACAGGACCCAGTACACTTAGATCTCTCCCTGGAGAAAAAGAAGGTGAACATTTCTGTGAGACAGCAAGGGTGGTGAGAGCTAACAGAGCCGCAGACAGAATTGCTGTGGCTGGGTTTTGCCTTCTTATCCCTATAATGGCACACACTCTGGAGTATTTAACATCCTAGGGAGCATCCAGTACTAATTGCTTTCATGAAAAGGAAGCAAAGATCTAAAGTCATTCACTACTTCTGTTGCTATGCTCAAAACTCTTATGGTCCCTTCAGCTCTCCAGGATGCCCTCATACTTTATTCATGCTTCTTTGCAACTCCCATCACAATGCTCCCACAAAAGCTTTCTTTTCACCATATTTTAAAACTCCATTTTATACTACCTGCATATGAAGGCTATGTGCCCTACAAACTCCCACAATACCCACTAGGCAGCCCAACCCTCATGACAGGATGTCCATGGGCTCCAATGCATACACTACCATATTGCTCTGCTCTGACGCACTATCATGCACAGAGGATCCCCTTGTCCCTGTTCCTCCCCTCTCCCCCATAATTCCCATAAACACACCCAAGACAGTAAGTCCAATGACTCCAATATTCCTGACGCCTCGGTCGGGAAGATTGTTGACCAAACACTGGTATGTGCCAGTATCCGATAGCTGAGTGTTGTTGATGAAGATGGAGGCACTGGTGGTTGGCATTGTCACAGCAAACCCCACTCGTCCATAGAACTGGGGTGCACCACCAAAGATCTGACCCCCTTGGTAGAGAATAACCTGGAAAAGAAAGGAAGGCTCAAACAACACTCTTCAGTAGTTGAGCAAGGAGGAAGAACAGCAAGCAAAACATGGGCTTCCGAAGCCAAAAGGACCTGTTCCTAAAGCATCTCTAACTAACCAGACCTCAATATACAGTTGTCCCAGGCAGACCAATCCTAGCAGAGGGGTTTTCTCTAAAAGAGGAACACACTCTGTAGCCTGTTTTATGTCAATAAAAATGTTCACAGAGGTAACAGACCAGATAGATACCCAAGTCTTCTGGCATAGCTGGATTGGCAATACCAGCCTGCTTCATATGATAGTCATTACCCATCTGTACACGATCGATGTAGAGAGGCAGAGACTCTCTGCAGGTCAGTGAGTACTTTGCTGGAAAGCATCCACCCAGTGGACAGTATTATTTTGAGTCTCAGCCAGTAAGATCCTGCCATGATTTGACACTGCTTACTGAAGATCATTGAGATGATCATTGGGAATGACAGGCAATGCAACCCTTGAATCTGCACAGCCTCTACCAGTCAGATGGCTTATATAGCAGTCTGTACTCAGACCAAGACCCTGAGGAGCAAGTACTCTTTGGTGCAGGTTCTCGTAACTGAATACCAAATGTGATGGAGGCAGTGTGACCCAAGACAGATGCATTTCAGAGCAATGGCATTCTTCTGCTATCAGAGTATGTGGGCAAAAACCAGGCCATCAGATCTCAGGTTATGATTCTTGTGCCCACCACAACATTTGCTAATGTTCATAAGAATGGACTTGCATAAGCAATGGACAGTGAAAAAGTAAGAGGGGAAGTAAAAGGGGAGATGAGTCTATGAGAGGCCGTGTGTTCTGGCACATTTTACACAGATTTCACAGGTTTAAGCCTGAAGCTGCTCTCAGATCCTCCAAATCCCAAATGCGGCACACCAAAACCTGGATTACATCTCCTGTGCTGTTTTGAACACAAAAACCACCAGAAATCCAGGGCAGCCATACAGTATCACATACAACTACCCCAACTGCACATTCAGCCAAGGCAACCAAGGACACAATGTGCATCAGTTAACAAAGCATTGAAGAAATCAGATTCATGTAAGATCCAGAGGGCGTGTTCAGCAATGAAGGGAATGTTCTGGGACAACCAGAGACTCAGCATTGTAAAGAGACTACATCCAGATCAGTGTGAAAAGGGTGAGGAAAAGGAAAGCCTCAAAGAAATGCACACTCCAGCAAGAAAGGACCTACCTGTTGAGGCTGGTTGGCGTTAGAAAGAGGAATGACCATCCAGATAACGTTAAGGTTAGTGAGAGCAGCATTAGTGGTGAAGGTGCAGGGCAATACTGCTGTCTGGCCCCGGGCAACCTGGATACTCCCTGAACTGACTGACACCTCCAGAGGACACACCAGACCTGGAAAGAGAAGGACACCCAGTTCAAGCATTTCAGGAGAAGGACACCCAGTTCAAGCATTGCAGGTGGCCCCATACGCGTGCAGGTCATGACAGCAACATCCTGTTGTTACACAACTGTCCCTTACCAATTACTTCAGGCTAAAAAGAATTATATTCCTCCCTCAACAGATCAGGCTGCTCTCATGCAGACATTTTTCACAGGCAAATGTAGATAGGTGGCCTGAGACCACTCTAGTTTCAGAGCCTCTGAAAACAACAGGTTTTGTTTTGGTGACAGGGAAAGATCTGGAAGAGCAGCCAAGCTGTGTCTAAGAGATAATGAAATATGTTTTCAAACCCATCAATCTTAATGATACCCAACATCACTGAAACAGAAAAGGAAACTGCATTCTAAAAGTCTTCACCAAGACATAAGAAGGGAGACTGTGTGTCATTAAAGAAGAAACACAGCTCTCCCCCCAGTTCTACCCCTCATAAAGTCCAGCATGAGCAGAAACATTTTAGTGCTATTTTTAATTTAAAGGGTTAAAAATCTAAATCTTTTCCAGTCCAGGTATTTCTATCTAGCTGGTGAAAAACGACTACTGATAATGGAGAATCTCATCAAATCTCATTTATTTTCCATCATTTCTACCATTCACTTCTTTGCATTCCACACAGGCTGGACAGGGCTCAAAGCCTGATAAGCCCCAGCTTCCCAGCACAGCAGCTTAAGGCTGCAGTTTTTAGACTGCAAGTTACAGAGGAAAATATTTCCATTCCTACTGCCAAAATCTTGTCAAATGAAACTAACCAAGGAGTCACCACCACCATTTTGAGTAGCACTAAAATTCTTTAAACCATTTTTCCCCACAAAATCAAAACATGGACTACAGAAACCATCTCTCTATATGACAGCTCACTATCTTCTTGTTCAAAGCATGTGGGAGGCTGCTGGAGGAGAAAGCAAGGAGTTTTCGAGATCCAAGGCAATACCAGAGTATTGCTAGCACCCAGGTGGAGTCTGTGGACCACCCTATTCTCTTGCTGACTCCAGGAAGGACTGCCAGCAAAGTTTCTGTTTTCTGCCAAGAGACACTGGTTTGCTGAAGGTGAAATGCTCCATAAGAATAGGTTTCTGTCTGAGCTACGAAGAAATTGAACAGGCTAATTTCCGAGAAAAAGGTGAGTGGTCTCCCGCACACTTATCTGCTGGGATCCTAACCAGCCTACCTAATCGAGAGATGGGGTGCTGAGAGTCTGGAAGTGTTGAGCTTCAGATACTACAGATCCAAAGTTTCTAGCACCTGAACAGCCTATGATGAGTTCCCGGGTTTGGACTGACTGGTCTGGAGCTGCAATACCCTAGCTTGCAAATCCTCAGCAACCTCCTCTGGACTTCCTTTCCCTCCTCCATATCTCCCACCTCCAAAGCCCCAGGTAGTTCGGTGAGGCTCAGAAGTGCTTCAGAACAGATCCAGACAAAATGCCATTTTAATCTCTCCAAGTGAAATTCACGAGTTTCTTACTTTGCAGAAAAAAGACCCAAGTCTGACTTTCCTCACAGCCTTGGAACATATTTAAAAATATGGAACACTTCGGAAATTCCTACAGAAATAGTTCATCTCTGGTGTTAACATCTCAGAGAATTAGGTGCCTGGATGAGGAACAGCTGGTGAAAGCTTAATCCATCAATCTCCTATTCAGGGCTGTCAGCAGCGAGTGGGAGTAAATAATTTGAAGAGCCAGTAATAAGCACCACCTTTATTACAAGGTATCTGCCTTCCAGTTGCGTCTGTGGTCAACAGACTGGGAATGTTTTTGGACTCCTCATTTGATTATGGCTGGCCAGGCAGTGGCAGTATGCCAAAAACCAGAAGTGATCCATGTCAACTTTGGAGACGTCTTTTACTGAATATGACCCTGACAAGGGATCATCTTTTCTGCAGGCCTAAATTTGAAGGCTACCTTGTCATGACTACTCATCCAGTCTAGCATCATCCATGTGCTAAACAGTGTGCAGGGAGTCACAATAATTTTGACATTTATTGGATTAACCTCTCTCTCCAACATGGTGCAGAAAGCTCTTCTGCCATTTTTAGCATAGATTTAATGAGATGCTCTCCATGAGAGGAAAACCAACTACTCATCTGATTTGGAATAGCAACGTATGTTCAGGAAAAGTAATACTTAAGTGTGAGTATTCATTAATAGCAAATTTACTGGAAAAGTTAGAGTTTACAGTTTGCATTGCAGGGTTAGTTACATCAATCATTCAATTATCAAGGTGATGTGATTTTCATACCTAACCACCCTCTTGCTTCTCCTAATATTTACAATTAGTTGACTGTAAGCATCCTGCAGAATAACAAAAATACTAAAATAGAACATGCATAATTTCTTCAGTGTAAAAATAATTTTCAATACATTTGAGAATATCCCAACCGACTTATGAGCAATTTAAAAAAGGAAAGAAAACACATAATATTCCCTTTGCTCTGCCAGTGCCCCACTCTTGCCCTGCAGCATCCCACAGCCCCCATAATCTCCTCCCCCTTTCAAGGCACCACCACATCCCTTTTAATTTGAATGCCACAGAGTGGTTTCAGCAGGGGGGCACTAAGGAGGAGCTGAAGTCCTCATGCATTTCTCTTGCCAAGGGGAGCTACTTCAAACATGGACATGCAAGATGAGCACCCCACCACCACCATGCTGTCCTGTCTCTATCTTGTTAAACCACCGGGCACATCAGCTCCTCAGACTTGCTTTTGCCTCATGCATCCCAGGGCCTGTCAGCTGCTCTTTGGCCTGGGATGCATACAAGGCAGGCAGCACTTAAAGACAAGGACTCATTTTGTTAAGCTAAGTGGCACCTGCAGCGCTACAGCTGGGGAAAACACACACAACCACTTCTGACAAGTAAGTTTAAACAAGGCGACAGGGGAGTCAGGAGACCAAATGTAGGCAAAGTCCTTTTCCACCAGCATAAACAGGGAGGTAGGCTGGTGCATTAACACAGCACCAGGAGGGCATTACTACCACGTGACTCCTCTCCCAGGGAGACAGCTGGGAGAGCAAAGATCAAATTTTCTTCAGAAGCTACAGCGTCTTTCTTTATATCTCAGAATACTAGAAAATGTAACACACGTATACATGCCCTTGTCCATCTACACAAGGATCTACATGACTGCATCCTTCCACACCAATACTCATGGCCCAAAACACAAGTGAATGCACACAAAGACACATACACTTAGAAGCCTGTATACCCAGGAAGACATCTAGTAGGAAAGCTCAACTAAACGTTACGTGTTTAAACATTGCAAAATTAGGAGTTGCAAAAATGTGGCTTTGCATTAATGCAAAGGAGGGAGACAGGGGAGAGAGGGAGGAAGAGATTTCAAATTTAGCATATCTATTGGAATAAGGATTTTTCAATGCAGCCTAAGGAATGAGGACTTGAATTCTCTTGGGTAGATATAAATGCAAATATAGACATATGCATACACATACAGCCCAGTCGACTAAGTCAAATTACACATGAGGTCAGAAAAATCAAGCAAAGGATGTTGTGAAGAGTCTCCTTTTGCAAAGGTACACAATCCAGATCTTTTCTAAGGATTCAGAGAAGTTTAATGACTTGTGAGAGAAAACAAGACTTGATCACCACCAAATTGTCTCTTAGAATGGGATTACAATGGCCATTACACCCTCTCTTGTATGTGCAGTCTCCTCCTTACTTAGTAATTAAGCATCCCTGTAAGCAGCATGCCTGAAGGAAGAGCAAGGTACACCACTGTCAGCAGAAAGAGGAATGGGCCCTTCCTGTATGTAGAACACTTTGATCTTAGCTTGATTCTGCAAATGGCTTTCTCCTTTGATCCTGATGCAGCAAGCTCCCATCACTAATTAGAACGGATGCTCCATTTTTTTGTCCCCTATCAGGGAACCAGCCAGCAGAACAATGTTTTGGTTACAGAAGTTCTTTTAGAGTTTCTTCATATTTTCAGGACCAAGTCATTATTCTGTCAACAGATCATTTTGATTTCATTTTTGATGGGTCGCTAATGCTTTTCCAAATAACACACACAGCTCCCTCCCCTGCATCCATGAAGGAGTCCATGTAGATAGTTCATACAGCACGATACAAGCATGTAGGGACCAGTCCCGCAACCAGGATTTGTCTCCCTGCTGGGTTTGAGGATGAGGCAGATGCTGCCATGTTTGCTAGCTGCCCTGCAAGCTGAGAGCCTTCAGAATATACCAGGTGCAGTAAAGCTGAAAGACATGGGCACGTCTTACCATTTTGACTCATACTAAGTTGACTGAAAATGTTCCCAGCTCCCACTCACTGCCACACGTTTTTGCCAGAGATCACCAGCAAGATCAGCAAATCACCTCGGCTGACAGCTCCGTGAGTGAAATGAGGACTTCCACCACCATAGCTTCACATCAATATGCCAGATCATAACATGAACAGCTAAGGTACAATCACCAGTCCATACTACCGTGATGGCAGATGGTCACAGACCACAAGGGCCTCAGAGGCTGCAGAGGCTCTGCTTTCAGGAAGCACTGTGGTCACGCTGTTGAAGCTGTGCTAAGGGCACGTCCTCCTCTACCGCTGGATCATCCCCAGAACCTGGTTTTCAGAGGCAACCATGCTCAGTGAGATATCTGAGTATCACTGGCTGGGCTGCAGTATAGTGCACAGAGAGGGTCTTCACCTGCTGTGTTTAGCTTAGGAGTGTTGATCTGCCAGGACCACAGAAAAACAGAAGTTTCTTTGGAGGGTCATTCATACCATGAAAGTCAAACTCCTGCCCTGCCTTACCTTCTGGATGACACTCTCTGCTTTGCAAGTACCCCCAAGAACTGTTGGCAAGTCAGCAGCATTTGGCACCTGCTAGCAGGAACCTCCTGATACTCAGCGGCGTGGGAGGCTGGGCTAGCGTGACTTTGCACACATGGAGGCCAGGGTATAGGTTCACTGCAGTGCTGGCAAGCCAGGGAAACAAA